GTCCTCAGTGAGGAAAAAGGAACTCCCAGATCAGCCATATGTTCTCTTAGGCACATTTGTTCTGCTCATCTCTCTTGCAGATCTTTTAGATCAAATGCTTCTATAAATTATTTTTTTGAACCTGAAAAATACTAGATCATGCTAAGGTCATACTTAAAAGAAAAACTCAGTCTAACTGTAAAGCTTTCAAGAGTAATGCAGAAGTTTATTTAATACTCAGCTGGCTTTCTTTCTATTTCTCCCTCCTTTCCCATTCACTTTCAGCTACTTGCTCTTACAAGTATGCATTTCTACCTAATCCCCTGATCATGATACCAAATACCAGAGCAGCACAAAGCAGGGCTTGAGGAGCAGAAGAGGCAGGAGAGAGACTCTGTATGTTTATAATTGTTGTATCCCTGGCACCTCTTGAACAATGTCTTTGTCCCTTCAAGGCAGTGGTTCTCAACCTTGCTGCACATTTGAATCATATGGGGAATTTTAATAAAATACCAGATGTTTCCAAACCCCATCCAGATCAGGTAAATCAGAATTTCTGTGTGGGATCTAGGTACTGGTTTGTTTGTGATTTTAATGTGCAGCCAAAGTTAAAAACCTCTGTTTTAACACAATGGACTACTATGCAGCCATTAAAAAGGAAGGATCTCTTACCCTGAGACAACATGGATAGACCTGGAGAGTATTATGCTAAGTGAAATAAGCCAGTCAGAGAAAGACAAATATCACATGATCTCACTTATCTGTGGAATCTAATCAACAAAATAAACTGAAAAAAACAAAATAAATCCAGAGACATGGAAGCATGCAACAGACTGAGGGTTCTCAGAGGGAAGGGGTGGGGGGCAGGAAGAGATCAACTAAAGAACTTATATGCACATGGGCATAACCCATGGACACAGACAATAGTCCAGTGAAGGCCTGGGGATGGGGCAGGAGTGAGGAGGAGGGGTCAATAGGGAATAAAAAGGGACATCTGTAATACTTTCAACAATAAAGATAAACTAAAAGAGAGAGAGAGAGAGAGAGATCTATGGTTAGATTCTTCTGTTTCATCTCTTCTAGGACTTGACAAGTTTTCTTTTCATCTTTCCTGCCTCTTGTTGTTTTAATTTTTTATATTCACTTTTCAACCTTTCATATCTCCATTCTCATTTGTTCCCTCACACCTACTTTCTTTCTAATCAACATATGGGACGAGGGTTCAAGTACAGGTCATTTCTTTGAGAGGTGATCCTATGGAATTCCAGTTGGGGGTGGGAAAGTAAGACACAGAAGGGAAGGCAGTCAATAAAGGATGCATTATCTAAGGTGCCCACTCTGGACAACTAGAGCTTAATTTGGTTGGGGATGTAAACACATATCTCAAAGTTATCTCATTCAAGGGGAAAGGGAAATAGAGTATTGATCTACCAATTCTTGCCAGTTTTTGGTTGAGGGCTGCTCCCAGGGGCTTTGAATTCTCTGCCACTTCTAGCTTGCAGACAGAGTAGGCTATAGCAGCCAGAGAAAACCCTCAAGCAAAGGGCTACAGATGCTGATGGTGGGAAGTCTGGCCAGTATACAGCAGAGTTAAGTTATACCATACTCTTGACCTTAACCACTGGTTGTCTGCATATACTCTGTTCTCCCTCAGCTTTCTTCAGTTTTCCTCATCATCTTATTTCATATGATGATGCCTCATACTTCCTCCTTCCTCTCTGGCACTCTCCTTTGGTGTTTAAGGCTAGATCCTCTCCTTCCTGGGAAAACCTGTGTAATGCCCTGGTGGTTAGGGTTACAGTAAAGAATGAGGGAATGGGAATGATTCACATTGCTACCAGATATAAACACTGATGAGTTTCCAAAACACATATTTGGTTATGTCACTTTCCCAGCTCTTTGTCTTCAAGATCTAGCCTTTCTTCCCTTCATGCTTTTACTATATTTTGCATGTGGCTAACTCATCCTTCAATACCTAGCTCAAATATCACTTCCTCTGTAAAGCCACCTTGCAAAGTCAAATTAATCCCCCTTTCCTCAGTGCCATCGTAATGCTGTGTGCAAACCTTGGTTACAGTATAGTGCTCATCACAAAACATCCTAAGTATTCACTTATATGCTGGTTCCCTCAAACAGAAAATAAATTTTAGGAAGACAGAAGTTACTTCTCTTTGTATTCCTTTCCCAAGTAAAGTGTTCTATGAAAGCATGAATTCCAAAAATATCTGTAGGCTTAAACAAAATTCAAATTGAGTTGAAGCTGGTTTTGGAATATGAAAACTGTTTTACAGGTGCGCTAACAAACACATTTTGGAAGACATATCTAATGGATCTAGTCAGAAAAGTCTTCATCAGAAATCTGAGGAGTGACAATAAAAGTTAGAAAGTGACTGAAATTTGAGGAAATACAATTATATATAGCCAAACTACTCCTTGGAGGACAAATAATGAGAACATTCATTATGTTAGAATGATTGTCACAGTAAACAATTTGTTTATTATTTTCATGATAATAGAATATCAATCAAAGGAATACCAGGCACACTCATCATAATAACTTTCCACACAACAACAAGGTGAAGGGGGTGAAAAGAGGTATTTGGGGTGTCTTTCACTGAAAGAATGATGTAAAAGGAGAACCCTAGAGCTATTTTCATTTCAGTCTTGTCCTATAATTTTGCCTATAGAATTTGACCTACCTGATATAATCAACTCATTAGTAATTTAATATGAAACTTTTCCTCCCTGAGATGTCATTTTACTTAAGTTGCTATCTATTTTTATACATTTTAATTTCTATATTCTTGACTGAGGAGGTGGAAGTTGGAGGGGTGGGGGTTCAGGTTTGGAGAGGGAAGGTCTTGGTTCGGCAAATGGTTTGGAGGTAGACCAAGTAAAATTTCAGGATGTCCTAGGAGATCTACAATTGATGAGTTGGGAAACGTTTTCGTATAAGGAATAGGTAAAGGCTAATCTGTCTTTCTTCTAATTGAATTTATTAGCTACCTTAACATTCTCTACTTCAGAATAAATAAAATAAATTCCTGTATTCTATTTTGGTGTTATTTCTTTCTTTTTAATTTTGAAAAAAATTAGAAATGTAGAAAGTGCAGAGATCAATATAATAAATACCTTTGTACCCATAAGTCATAATTGCTAATGATTAACATCTTATCAAAAACATTTTAAATATATAGAAGTAATCATTATAGATAAACTTGGACTCTCTATCCCCATTTTTTCTCCCCTTCCTAGCGGCAGTTATTTTCATGCATTTTATTTGTATTATTCTCATTCAATTTTTTGACTAATACGTTTAGGTTTACATTTCAGATTTTTAATTAATTTTGTTTTCTGAGCATTCTGTAATCTCAAAGCTGGAGTTTTTTCTTCCAGGCTTCTCAACCTGGAAATCTACTTGTCCTTCAGGTCCCAATCCAAAAATTATTATTTCTTTGAAGTCTTTCTTAAATCCCTTAAACAGGCTAATGGTGAGTTCCTCAGCCCTTCCCCAGCATTCAGTTCCTGCCTCTATTACACCAATCCCGTTAGGTTTATCTGTCCCTCTCACCCCGAGACCCTCAGGGGTCAGCACACTTCTTATTTATCACTGCCC